TTGAGGACTTGATGGAAGTTGTGTGGACGTGGGAGGGTGAGTGAGGACACAGGAAGCGGAAGCCCAGGAAGTGGGCGTGTGGTGGGAGGGGAGAAAAGTGCAGGAAATGAGGGAAGAGAGAGAGAAAGCCTGAGATGGGCTGGGTGGGGAGAGAAAAGTCCCAGGAGGGGAGGCAGTGCAGAGAAAACGCCCACGAGAAATTGGGGGGAGAGGAAGGAGAAAAAAAGCCTGAGAGGGGAGACTGGTGGGCCCAGAAGGATTTTCCCTTTCCTGCCAGGCCATTTCTTCGCCTTCCTCCTTGGCCCTTCCCTGCTCGCTGTCTCCCCTATCAGTCTCTTTCTTTCGCGCCTCCACACACTCCCATGTCCTGGCCCAATCCTTTGATCCCCCAACCCCTATTCACAATTACACCATTACCCAGGCATTAGTGCATATGCACACTAGTAAAAACAGACACTGCCTTTTAATGTAACCCTGAATTGCTCCCAATGCCTCAGCAGAACCTCCTTCCAGTCCCACACACACTGTTTATAGATATCTATGTGAAACCTTTCCCTCCCAACTCCAATTCCCCTATAGCCCAGGAACTGTCCTGAACCTTGGTGTCAGGTAAGCTGCCATCCTTAGCCTTTAGGACTGTCTGTCTTTGTTGCAGATAGCTGTATCTATTTCCCAAACTCTGCTTTCTCCTATTGTTATGACTTTTATTCTTTTCATCCCTGACTTGAATGGCCCTTGACCATGGTGCAATGGTCAGTTCACTCATCCTCTCTGCAGTCTGTGCTGTTGTCCACACCAGAAGCAACAGCCTCATACCTATCAGACAAGGACACTGGCTTAGCCTTCACCAAAGATAACTTCGAGATTGTCATACCTGCTTTACTTGCAGTCACACTCTCCCATCAGCAACTATAAACAAAATTTGATGTAATTAGTCTAAGGGATGTGATTGTCTCTTGAGACAGTATCCAGGTACCTTTTTCGCTCCCTGATGCGTTGCAGTATCTGCTGCTCTGAGCTGATGTTCCTCAAGCAGCCAACACTAGCTGCAGATGTGATCACTGTGGATCAGCCCAGTGTCCACCAGCTCCTCCGTACTACAGCTGCAATGCATTGCCTGCCCAACCATCTCAATTCTGTTTAACTAATTAGTTTTGATGGAATATATTTCAAAAGTGCTTTTCTTAACTGCCCTCTTCTGCTCTAATCAGGTCCTGGCAACTTTTCTCTCTTCAGTTCCATTAGCTTGTCAAATGTTTTGTCCCTCATGACGGAGACTGTTATAAGACCTTTCCTCCCATTAGCACCTTGTTTATCTATTTTCAGACCACCTACATTCTCCTCCAAATCATTTACGTACATATATTACAAACAACAGGGGTTCCAGCACTGATCCCTGTGGAACACCACTGGTCACAGGTCTTCAGTCAGAAAAACACCCTTCCACCGCTATTCTGTCTTCTATGACCAAGCCAGCACTGTATCCATCTTACCAGCTTACCATGGATCCCAGATAGTAGGAACTGCAGATGCTGGAGAATCCGAGACAACAAGGTGCAGAGCTGGATGAACACAGCAGGCCAAGCAGCATCATAGGAGCTGAAAGGCTGATGTTTCGGGCCTAGACCTTTCATCAGAAACTTTTATCATGGATCCCATGTGACTTTTTTTAAGTTCATTCACAGGATGAGGGTTAAGAGTCAACCACATTGCTGTGGGTCTAGAGCCACATGTTGGCCAGACCAGGTAAGGATGGCAATTTTCTTCGCTTAAGGAAATTTGTGAACCAGAACAGTTTTTCCAACAATTGACAATGAATTTGTGGTCGTCATTAGACTCCTAATTCCAGATATTTTTAATTGAATTCAAATTCCAACATCTGCCGTGGTGGGATTTGAACCCAGGTCCCCATATGTTACCTGGGTCTCTGGATTAATAGTCCAGTGATAATACTCAAACAGGTTTGTGAGATAAGACCTTCTCTACACAACGCCTTATCGCTAATAAGTCCATATGTTTCCCAATGTGAGTAAATCCTACCACTAAGAATCTTCATTGATAATTTCCCTATCACTGATATAAGGCTCATCGGCCTGTAATTTCCTGGTTTATCTCTATTGCCCTTCTTAAATAAAAGAACAACATTGGCAAGTCCATAGTCCTCTGGGACCTCTCCTGTGACCAAAAAGGATACAAAGATTTTGTACACGATCCCAACAATTTCCTCACCTGCCATACTCAGCATGCTGAAATAGATCCCATCAGTACCTGGGGACATGTCTACCTTGATGCTTTTCAGAACACCCAATACCAAATCCTTTTCTGTATTGACATGCCCAGAATATCAGCAGATCCTTCCCAAGACTCACCATCAACCATATCCTTCTCCTTTGTGAATACCGATACAAAGTATTCAGTAAGGACTTCACACATTTCCTCCTGCTCCACACATAAATTCCCTCCTTTGTTCTTGAGTGGACCTACCCCTTTACTAGCTACCCTCTTCCTTCTTATATATTTATAAAATACATTGAGATTTTCCATAATTCAGTTTGCCAAAGTAATTTCATGGCCCAATTAGCCCTACTAATGCCTTGTTCGAGTTCTTTCCTGCTTTCTTTGTACTCTTCGAGGTGTCTGTCTGTCTTCAGTTTCCTAAACCTTACATGTGCTGCCATTTGCTTTTTGACTAAGCTTTCAATTTTGCTTGTCATCGAAGGTCACTGAATCTTGCCATTCTTATCCTTCATTTTCACAGGAACGTGCTGGTCCTGTACTCTAATCAACTGACCTTTCAAAGGTTCCCAAATGCCACATGTGGATTTACCCTCAAACAGCTGTCCCCAATTTACATTCCCTTGTTCTTGCCTAATATTATAATGGTTAGCCTTCCCCCAGTTCAATGCTTTCACCTGAGGACTACTCCATGAATAGTTTAAAACTTACAAAATTATGGTCACTGTTTCTGAAATGCTCCCCCATTGAAACTTTGATCACCTGACCAGGCTAATTCCCCAATACCAGGTCTAGTATGGCCCCTTCCATAGTTGGACTATTTACATATTATTGCAGAAAAAACTGTCCTGGACACACCTAACAAATTCTCCCCCATCCAAGCCCCTGGCCCTCAGCCACTTCCAGTGAACATAGGGGAAGTTAAAATCATCCACCACAACAACCCTGTTCACATTTTTCCATAATCTGTTCCTCTATCATCCACTGGCTGTCTTGATGCCTGTAATACAATCCCAACAAAGTGATTGCATCCTTCTTATTCATGAGCTCTAACCATATGGTTTAGCTGGATGAGCCCTTGTGATTGTTCTGCAATTTTATGTAAGTTTTTGTTGACTTAATTCAGCTGTTTATATTGTTAAACATCAAATTCATTCTGCTTAATTCAACGACTATTCAATTAAAACAAAAGAACAAAATACACAGTGCTTGCTTTTGCTCAAATTCGTTGTTATAATTCCACTTTGTCTCTTAGCTTTAAGAATGCCTGTGTGTTCCGGAAACATTAGATCTCACTGGCTTGCCAGGTTTGTTTACATGTTGCTTCTCATGATGCTGAAATGAAAAATGTAATGATGCAGAAATGAACCCATGAGAACAACGGAAGTAGAACAACGACAACAACTTTAAAATTACAGCAAACAACGCATTTTAGAAATGAAAATAAGCCCTTTGCATTACTAGTAATTTTCCTTCCTGTTCAGAATGACTATCATACACCTGCATTTAGATAACCTGCCAGTTACAACCTCTTGCCATGTTATGCTGGGGATGTTGGGGTATAGCAAGCCCCTCAGAAAGGTAGAGTGGTGGGGCATCTTTGAAAACAGCATCCTAATAGCTGTTGCTTGCTTACAACACTACATACATTCAAGAGCCATTCTTCATGTATAAACCTATAGGTACTAAATGTTGATAGACTACTTGATCTGGCTAAGATAGGTACATTCCACACAGGTGTATTATATGTTGATGAATCTTAACCACTTAGATTGCTTGGTTGGTTGGTCTAGGGGCATGATTCTAGGAACCTTGTGGCACAGTGCTACTGTTCCTACCTCTGGTCCAGGAGGCTTGAGTTTAAGTCCCCACCTACTCCAGAGTTGTGTCATGACATGTCTGAGCAGGGTGATTAAAAATAACTGAACCCTAGCTGATATTGTATTTTCTTTTGCATAATTCAAAGGCACTGATCCCAATTAACTTGCTCCCCTCTCTGCCCTTGATGCAATGTAGCCTTTGCGTCTAACCTGGAATCTGCGTCCCTATATCTTGAGTATTATACCATTTACTGCTCAAATCTATAGATATATCTTGTATTTGCGTGTTTTGCTAGAGTTTGTTTGAATTCAAATCAATGTGCAACATGACTGGAACATTATCGGCAAATCTTTGAAGTTGGCGTACATTTAACTTTGTGAAGCAGATTTTAAAGCCTTCTATTTTCACACTGAAACAAATTTCAGACAAAGTTATTGTAAAAATCAAGTTTCTGCCTCACTTTCAGTGAAGCTATGATACTGAGAGTAGAAACTGGGAATTTTGGAACTATGTTTTTGCCTCATTCGCTCACCCTGATTTTGTGTTTCACAGCCTTACAATTCTTAATATAAGACAAGTTTCTCTCACATTCCAATATAAAATTCCTTTAGTTACACTTGTATCCGTGAAATTAAACCTGAACTTATTGTTGGAAACCAACCTTAAATTGTGGCAATGAAATGGTACAATTTTAGCTTCACTGCATATAGGAAGAAAGGAGGATACATATGCCTTACTTTTATGAAGGTCAGAAACAGAGTGTATTGCCAGGAGCAGGTAAAAAAATCCTCAAGTTTAAAAACACAACAGTGGGTTTGTGTGCTATCCATGAGGTTTACTGTTCTTAGTTCATGGGGTGAAGAGTTCAGAATTTTAATGAGCTGATTTAAATTGTGTGCCTTCTACTTTGTCTTTTTGCAATGAGCAATTTCTACATTCCATACCTGTGACTCGAAGTCTATCAGCACCGACCACCACCTCATTCTCGTCTGCAGAAAACAGCATTCTGCCTGTGTTTGAGTTGACTTCAAAATGTTTTCCATGAGCTTGCACTGTACTGGGACCTTGAGCCAAAAGATAAACAATATCAAAATATAAGGAGGTTGTGAGATATGAAGTATTCCAAGAGGGAGAAAAAAAATCAATATCAAATCACCTGTGAAAATGCTTCAAGAATGTTATTGATGTACTTTGAAAACAAAAGGCAAAGCTTTCAGAGTAAATATTTTGAAAACTTTCCATTCTCTTCTTGTCTCTTGGATGTTGCAAACAAATGGACAAAAAGCTGCAATTTTCAATGATGACCTTAATTGCATTCTTGAGAAAAGAGTCATAAAGTGGCAATAAAAAATGTTCTGTAACAGTTTTATAATCAGCTAAAGAACGGCTCTTACTCCAGTGTACATTAAAACAGAAGACAAGTTGGACAGCACGTTAGAAATGGAGATTTGATAATCAGCAAATACAGAAAAAGGACAAACACAAAACATTATCAAAGCATTTCTCTAAGTTAATAATTATTCCGTACATTTACCAATACATTTTCCATCTCCACCTTATTGTAAAGATGGAACTTTACATTCCCAATTATCCTTTGCAAACCGCTCTGTTTTGTTAAAAATTACCTTTACCTGGATTTCCACACTGCTTTTTTTTTAATTTTGTGGCATCTGCCTAACAGTGTGAAGTGTTAGGATTCCAATCTGGTATGCTACAGATGGCAGATTTTATACTGGAGTTTCTGGATCTTGTATTTGTGAGTTTATGATCTCTGCCATCCCAGAAAAATTAATGGCAGAGCCCCTCAGGCTGTTATATTCACAATAAAATTAGTAGGACACCCTGAGGGGAAGACTGCCGGCTTACTGGCTTGCCAAGAAAAATAAAAAGTTAGTAGCAAAAAATGTCCGGTACATTTTCCTCTCTCCCCATTAATGATTTATTTCTGTGACATTAGGATGGCCTGACTCGAAGCAGAATTCACAATTCACTGACATACAAAAAATAAGAAAGTTGAACTTGCTAAAGTTTAGCTGTAGTGTGTCAGAATGAACTGTTATGATTGGATGAATTTGATTTTTAATATTCTGCCCAACATTTGGTGTTGTCGTGATAATTTCACTGGATTAGTATTTCAGAACTCAGGCTGATGTTCTTGGGACATGTGCTCACATTGCACCATGGCAGATGGTGAAATTTGAATTCAATAAAATTGGGAAGTAAAAGCCAGCCTAATGGCAGCCATATAATCACTGTTGTTTGTTACAAAACCCATCTGACTCACTACATAGGAGCAAAGAAAAGAGGAGTAAGTTGTTTAACCCTTTGAACCTTCTCCGCTGTTCAATATCTGATCACCCAAGTCAAAAAATTCAATATTTTGGCCTCAACTGCTTTGTGTGACAGGGAATTCCGAAGGTTCTGGGTCAAGAAATTTTCTCCTCATCTCAGTCCTAAATGACCCATCCATATCCTTAGTGATTCCTGGTTCTGAACTTCCCTGTCATCAGGAACACCCTTCCTGTGTTTATCCTATCTAGTCCTGTTAAAATTTGAGAGGTTTCTAGATCATTCTTCTGAATTCAAGTGAGTACAGTCCCAACCAATCCAATCTCTCTACATATGTCAGTCCTGCTGTTCCAGGATTCAGCCTGGTAAACCTTTATTGTGCTCCATCCATAGACAGAATATCCTTCCTCAGATAAGGAGACCAAAACTGCACACAATACTCCATGTGAGATCTCTCTAAGGCCATGTACAAATGCCTCAATACCCCCCTGCTCCTGTACTTAAATCCTCTCACTATAAAGGCCACAATACCATTTGTCTTCTTCACTGCTGCACCTCCTTGCTTATTTTTACTAACTGCTGTATATGGACCCTCACGTCTTATTGCACCTCCCCATTTCCCAATCTATTGCCATTCAGATAATAATCTGTTTTCCTGTTTCTGCTACCATGTGGGAAGCCTCACAATTATTCACTTTAGACTTGATCTAGCATACATTTTCCCACTCCCTTAACTTATCCAAGTCACACTGAAGCATCTTTGCATCCTCCTCACCCAGCTTTAAGCAATAATGCTCTTTAGGGAAGGAATTCTGCCAACCTTACCAGGTCTGGCCCACATGTGACTGGACCTACAGCAATGTGGCTGACTCTTGAGGCTGTCTTTTGGGCAAATAGGAATGGACAATACATGATGACCAAGCTGGGACATCCACATCCCATGAACAAATAAAATAAAAGATCTGAGCCAGACAAATCGCATAGAGCAGAACAATTAGGTAGATTCTTTTGTAAGCTGTGAGGACCCAGACAAGGCAAAGTGATGCCTATTTCTCAGCTTGCAAGACAAGCCACCTCAAATAGAAGATTTGGATTTGGATTGGGAGAAGGCAGGTTTTATTACAAGAAGGCAGGATCTGGCCAAACTAGACTAGGAACAGCGATTTTGGGGTATATCTGCAGCAGAACAGTGCGAGGCATTCAAAAAGATATTGGGGAGCATACTGGCCCAACATGTTCCCATTGGAGTGAAAAGTAGCAGCAGAAAGCCCAAAGAACTCTGGATGTCTAAGGATATTCAGAACTCAATAAAGAGGCAGTAATAGGCATTTAACAGGAGAAAAGGCAGTAAATCTATGGGACCCTACAGGAGTATAAAAAGTGTAGGTGGGATCTTAGGAAAGCAATTAGGAGAGCATAGATGGGGCATGTAAATCATTGGTGGGCAAGACTAGGATGAACCCCAAGATATTTCACAAGTATCTCAAGAAGAAGACAGTAACCAGGGAAAGAGTAGGATGCAATAGGGATGAAGAAGGAAATCTGTGTGTGGAGCTGGAGGATCCTGGTGTAGTGTTAAACAAGTACTTTACATCTGTCTTTACTTTGGCGAAAGAGGATGGAGGTAAAAAATTCAAGAAGATGTACTACAGAATTTGAGAAGGTGATGAACTGACAGGTTCTTGAGCAATTTGACATATGGAGTGAGGAAGAATTGGAGTGTTTGGCAGACTTAAAAGCAGACAACCATGCATGTCCGAAGAAGTTGTATCCCAGGCTGCTGTAGAAGATGAGGGAGGAAATTACAGAAGCTCAGACCCAAATTTTTACTTCCTCTCTGATGGCAGGGAAGGTCCCAGAAGACTGGAAAACAACTAATGTGCTTCCACTTCTCAAGAAGGGTGGTAGAGATGGACTAGGAAAGTAAAGACCAGGGAATCTCACATCACTGGTAGGGAAATGTATTGAGAAAATTTTGAAGAAGAAAGTTAATATTTATTTAGAGAGAACAGGCTTGATCAGGGATGGTCAGCATGGTTTCATCAGCGGGGAGGTCATGTCTAAAAAATCTGATTGAATATTTTTACAAAGTGACTAAGTGTGTTCTTAAGGGTAGTGCAGTTGATGTAGTTTATATGGATTTTAGTACGGCCTTCAACAAGATCTCACATGGGAGATGAATAAAGAAGGTAAAAGCAAATGGGATCCAGAGTAAATTGGTAAATTGGATCAAAAATTGACTTGGGTTAGGAGACAGAGGATGATTTATTTATGTAACTGGAGGCCAGTTTCCAGTAGCATAGCACAGGGAACAATGATGTGTCCATTATTGCTTGTGATATATAAATGATGTAGATGAGAATGTGGGGGTGAATGATAAGTAAGTGTGAGGATGACACAAAAATTGACAGAGAGGAAATATATCTCAGGCTACAGGAAGATGTAAGCAGATTGGTCGGATGGGCAGATCAGTGGGAGATGGAATTTAACCTTGATCAGTGTAAGGTGATGCACTTTGAAAGAAGGAACAAGACAAGGGAGTATACAATGAAATGGCAGGACATTAAGAAGCTCAGAGGAACAGAGACATCTTGGGGTGCTTGTCCAGAGATCCCTGAAAGTGGCAGGAAAGGTTAATGGCATAGTTAAGAAGGCATATGGGACTTGTCTTTGTCAGTTGATGCATATACTATAAGGGCAGGAAGGTTATATTAGAGCTGTACAGGATTTTGGTTCGGCCACAGCTGGAGTACTGTGTGCAGCTCTGGTCATTACACTATAGGAAGGATGTGATTGCACCGGAGTGGGTGCAGAGTAGATTAACCAGGATGTTGCCTGGCTTAGAGCATCTTGGCTATGAAGAGAGGCTGGATAAACTCAATTTGGTTTCTTTGGAGTTGAGAAGGTTGAAAGGGTCCTGATAGAAGTGTACAAGATAAGGAGGGCCATGAACACGGCGGATAGAAAGTTGTTCCTCTTAGCTGAAAGATCAGTAACAAAGGAGCATCATTGTACAATGAAAGGCAAGAGGTTTAGAGTTGACTTGAGGAAAAATATTTTCACTCAGTAGGGGTCTGGAATGGACATTCTGGGAGGGAACTTAACCCGGGTAACTTCAGAACCTTTAAAAAGTACTTGCATGAGCATTTTAAGTGTACATAATATTTAAGGCTATGGGCCTGGTGCTGGAAAGTGGAACTAATGCAGACTTACTGTATTTTGTTGATACAGACTTGATGGGCTGAAGAGCCTCTTCTGTCCTGTATGATTCTATGACCATATTATTCATTCTGTTGAGAATAGTACATTTTGCTCGACGTTGCCTGTTTTACAGGAAATCTACTTTAAAAGCTTTTGTCATTTCCATGCTGATATTCTCTTCTAAAGTAAGTCTATTTCATTAAAAATGTAATAGAGTGCTAATGAAGCATTCTGTAAAAGCGTGCAAGGGTTTAACAATGGCATGGCAGGGAAACCCTGAAGCAAATTTCATGAAGCTCAGTTAATTAATAACGTCATAAAAATCATTAGCATCTTGTTTTCAGTTGTCTGAGAACACATCCTTTAAAAAAAATCATTTAGAAAAACAGCCTTTTGTTTGAGAAAGCTGAAAGCATGCATTTATTCCTGGCAATTTTGTAATGCTGAGGGAGAAGATAATTTGTGCAGCTTTAATCCATGTCCAGCCAGGTTGTAAAACTAATCATAACAATTAGTAGGCAGGCAAGTTACAGAGGTGAATAGATTATTCTATGACAGATAAAATGCTTTCAGT